GTAAAACAGAATCTAAATTCAGATTATCAGTGAGGGTCAAAGATCATTCCCCAATAACTGGGGTCGAAGTACCATTGGCAGTAGAAACAAATTTTTGTGAGAACGGATTAAGAGGTGAGACCTGACTAGAATCAAATGTCATATGATCTGTAGCACCAGAATCAATTATCGATGCACTATTAGAAATAGGTGTAGAAATACTTAAAACCTTACCACTATTATCTGCAGTTATTACCAACCCCAAGTCCTTTTCAACAGCATCATCCTTTGTCGTTGTTTCAACAAATACTGCAGTGGAGGTTTTCTTCGAATTTTTCTTCCAACGACTATGATCCCACCATTCCGGATATTCCACAAGTTCGAAATAGTGGCTTTTAGTATGACCAGTCTGATTGCAATGGGTGCATTTGTAGGTAGACTTGTCTGCATCGTTGGTGGCCTTAGGTTGATTGGGCCCAGTACAGTCCTGGCAGTTTTGATTAGACCAGTTTCGAGCCATCATGGCTGAAACTTCAGAATTTTTGGACTCCCCTTTTCAGAGTTGCACGACGTACCACTTCTCATTAAACCAAAGAGTAGCATCCTTCCAAGTCTGGAACTGGATCTTTACGTTGACTCTCTCCATGAATTTGTTCAAAATTACCATCTAATCCAGTAAGAAAGATGTGAACCCCTTAGTCGCTTGGTAGACTTCTAATACGCTTCAATGTCATCAGGATCTTTCATGACCACTTTATCTCGATGGTCCAATCTAGGAACACCTCAGCTAACTCTCCATAATATTCAGATAGAGATTTTCTATTTTGTTTGGTGGTGAAGGCCTTTTGGTTCAAGGCGAAAATTTGCAACTCATCATTCCCATCATAAAAGGCCTTTCATAGAGCACTCCAGACATGGGCAGTGGGTAAGCGTAAATAGCACTTCATAATTTCTGGAGTTATGGACATTAATAGTCACCTCTTCACTTTCTGATTTTTGGCATACTACTTTTCATATCCATCTTATGATTCAGCAGGTGGCTTTGTCTTGCCACGAATATAGGAGACTTTCTCCCTTTCTGTAATATGTATCTCTATCAGTTGGGACCAAACGTCATAATTTGATTCAGTAAGAATAATCCTTGCATTAAAAACACCTTCAGATTGAACAACATTAGGAATTGATTTCGTCCCAGATAATTCAATATTTTTTTCAACTTGTGATTCAATACAATAGGACAGTGTATTACGACACCAAAAAAAAAAAGAAAAAGTTTCAAATAAACAAATCACCAAGACAACATCACAGCGACACGAACAGCACCACGGCTTGGATTTCTAGGTTTCAAGGTTCAAAGTGATTTTTTTTTTTTTTTTTTTCAAAGGATTCAAGAGGTTTGGTCGTTTGTTGTGAAACAGTGGCTTGGATTTCTGGGATTCAAGGTTTCGAAGAGATTCAAAGTTTGTTCAGTAAGCTCTGATAAAATCTTCAATTCAGAGAAAAAAAATGGGAATTAAAAATTATATTTCTATATATTCAGATAGATACAATTTATAGAATAAAACCTAGCCAAATTAGGTAACTAATTATACAAGAATCGGGAAATTAATTACCTACAATCTATACAATCCCAAATTATAAGAGCGAAGAATCTCAACACAAAATACTAGTACAATATCTATTTTAAGTTCGGTATGTACAAAACAAATATCTGATTGAACTCATTTTGGGACTTGCAATGGAAACAAAGAATGAAATGAAAAAACAAAAACCAAAAAACCAATAAGATAACATCGTTTTTGTGAGTTGCTTACCAAAAAAACAAAAAAATCTATTTCAGTAGGTTGCATAGTGGGTATTGTAAATTGTCAATTCTACTATTTCCATTCAAGTTGGTCCATTTTTAGAAAGCACGTTATTTTCAGGAGAGCAACGTATCCATTTTGAATACGTGTTGAATATTGATACTCTATGGATATTTGTGAATAGGAATTTGAAATTTCTTAAATGTATTTATAATTTTAAAATATATTTTTTAATTTCTAAATCGTATCCAATACATCTTTCGTACTTAGTTTGAACCTTAAAATGAAACTTTTTCAACAATAATAAAATAATATAATTGTTAAAAAAAATTCCAATTTTATTAAGTGATAACTAAGTATACTTATTTTGTGTTTTGAAATGAATTATGTTATATTAATAATTGCATTTTTGTTCATAATATTTTTAAAAAATTGACCAAAACTTTATATATATATATAATTTATTATTTTTTTTATTGCATTATCATGTCGTACTTATATTTTGTAATTTGAAATTTATCGTATCACCGGACTCATATCGTGTCGTATCTGTATTTGTGCTTCTCCAATCCATTTGAACCAAACAAACCGTCCAAGTTGCAATAAAGGCACGTCTTCCTTTTCTTTTTCCTATATTCTTCCTGAAACTACACATACTCGTTTACACTCTCGTGAAAATGGAAATGAGACCAAAATTTTGTATCTTTTTAATTTCTGAATATTTTTAAATTTTGTTTCCAAATAAAATTTATATTAGAACCAGAATATCTAATTCTTTTAGGACGTCCCAGATTGAAAAACTTTCAGATTCTAATTTCCAATAGAGCTATTCATATATATATATATATATATATATATATATCAAAAATAAAATTTTTCTTCTTCTTCTTAGAGCAAGTCCAATGGTGCAGGTTTTAGAAATTTTGGGCCCAATTTAGCAATGCAAAAAGTCTAATGGAGTCTCCAATTGGTGGACCCAAAAATTTGGGTCGTGGAATGGGTTGCCAAAAAGCCGACCCAGCTGGCGATTGCGGGCCTGCTTACTTTTTTTATAATTGTTTTAAGCCCAAATCACTGTTGCACTTAGCCCATAATTGGGTTAAGGGCATGTTTGTTTGGAAAAACTATTTCAGAAACCTGTTTTTTGGATTTTTTTTTTTTTTTTTTGTTGTGTTTTTCTTTTCTTTTTCTTTTTCTTTTTTTTCCCTCAACATAATTGAACACAAGAGCTGTTAAGACACTATTTGACTGGCAAACAGTATTTTAAAGGCTTTTTTGGGCAAAAGAAGTAAAAAAAAAAAAAAAAGAAAAGAAATGAGAAGTGCTTTTTAAATAGAAAAAAATTATTGTATATGATTGTGCCATATGATTATTCTTTGAAAAAAGGAAAAAAGTGTCATTTGGTTGTTATTTTTTCTTAGTTAATTTTAATAATGGTATTGTATTGTTTATTTATTTATTTTAAAAATCATATAATATTTTATTATCTTTATTTTTTTAATCCATAATAAATATTGTATTCTTTAATAGTTTTTGTATGATAGGAAAAAAGTATATATATATATATATATATTAAAAATTTTAATTTTTAGAAAGTGAAAATGCACCATTGAATGTAAAAAAAGTAGAGTCAAACTCTAATTTTCAAATTAATGGAAATTTTGCAAATGCTGACTTAGACATAGAAAGTTACTGTAGATTTTCATTTAATTCCTAAACTGCCCTGTTGCGAAATTACCTAACTACCCAGTCAATTGATTGAGCCCTCTCTATCTCTCTCTCTCTTCATCTCTCTTTTATCGCTTTAGGTTTTGTTGCCAATGCCTCTTTGCCTCGCCATTGACCCAGCCGAAAAAGAGAAAAATCTGCTACCAAGGAATACTAACTCCGGCCATTACTGGATAACACCAGCAACAAGGGTTTGAGTGTTAAATCTAAGGTTTGACTACACCTGCAAGGGTTTGGGGCTGAGTGGGAAGAAGAAGAATAAGAATAAGAACTTGAGTGTTAAATCTAAAGAGGTGTTGGAGGTTGGGGCAACAAGGGTTGATAGTGATAATGGTGAAGTTAATAATGATGGGACCCAAAAGGAGGAGAAGGTTAACGTTGAAGGTGAGAGGAGAAGATCGAAGCCGAATCCGAAGCTGCGAAATCTGGTGAAGCATAGGCATGGGGAACGAGTTGCTGCTGGATGGCCGTCTTGGCTCTCTACTGTTGTTGGGGAAGCAATCGATGGTTGGCTTCCTCGACGGGATGAAAGTTTCGAGAAAATTGATAAGGTGGATTGTTTGTTTTAGTTATTCATTAATTTATGTTCTTTTGATGATATGTTCTGTCTTATAGATATGTGCACATTTGTATGTTTTAGATCGGGCAAGGAACATATAGCAATGTGTACAAAGCTAGATCCATCCATTTCTAGCATCTCTGAATTCCTTTTTCCACTTTGTTTCGAAGTTTCTTTAGAGAGAGAGAGAGGGGGATGGAAGTACTCTTCACTTTTTTTCACTGTATTGGATTTTCAATGTTTTGATTTTCTTTTTCGCTGAAAATTATATATAATTGAATTTGTGTTATGCAGATTGAAGCTTTGTGCGACCATCGATATATTCTGTGCTTCAGAGTAGTCAATTAATAAAGTTAGTAAAGGGTAATAATATAATTTCACAATAACATATTATGACCTCCCCCTCTATACCCTGCGGTAACGATTCCTTGGCATTACGATCTTTACCACAACTATGCTGTCATAGATCAAATTCTTTCGTGGATTGGATTTTACTTGACTGTTTACGGCTCCTCCATTGCATATGCTTGGGGTAGAAGTTTTGTATAAATGTATCGCCATGCTATTAAGTATTTTGATTTAAGTTATTTTCTTTCTAAGAGGTGGAATAGAATAACCCGGTTGAAGCGTAATGATCATACGTCTGTAATGCATTGTATGTCCCATAATAGGTAACATATAATAGAATGGACAATTTGGAAATCATAATTTGAATGGACAATTTGGAAATCATAATTTTCTATGTCCAAGTCGCAAAATTTTCATTAATTTAAAAAATTAGAGTTGGACTCTTTTGGCATTTCACCACCATAACATCATTTTTATGAAATTATTCAAAATTTAGAGTAAAGAACTGACCAAAACAACACGGCAAATTTAGAGCCTTTGATCATACCAAACCACTTTGGTATTGCGCCATTGCAGTCATATTCGACGGCTTGACTTGAGTGGTATGAATCAAGTGAAAAGTCCATTCCATTAAATCTTCACCCTATCACAACGGCTACTGGCCTTGACTTCAGTAAAGGTGAAATGAATATGATAGGACCATTTTAGCACAAAGTCAAAAGCGAAAGCAAAAATAACTGCCCCAGAGGCCCATACAGCAAAAAACAGACCTACGAAATAAGAAAATTGGAAAAGTTTTATTCTCTTTTAAAAAAAGACATGAGTAGATATGCATATGTAGATGTCATCAACTGCATGCGCGAATGGCTTAGCTTCCACAACCTTAATAATGATGATGCATCTAACTTGACACATTTTTTATTTTTATTTAAGAGTTTTGTTACAGCTAAAGTCCTGAATATATATATTTAGGTAAACAGAGAATGACTTTAGCTATTATAATGATGTTATTTTTTATTCACATAAAGTAGTTGAATAAGTATAACTTTCTGACACTATATCATTTTACTGTATTTAATTGTCACATTGAACAGTAGTGGATATAAACCCAATGGGAAAGAGACCACCACGTTTGCGTTGTGTGGCTAGACTTGCTCAAGTCTTCGCAATCATATAGGTGTAATAGTCAGCCAACAAGAAATTCCAATCTTTGTTATGCAGTTGTAATCTTGATTAATTAATTGGATAATAAAATGGGTGGTTGTGTTCAATGAGCATAAATAATATAACATCTTTCTAAGCCTTGCTTGTTTGCTAAGCCCATTAGATGTTTCACATGAAACTCAAACTCAAACTCATGGAGAACACTAGATTCCTTTTTTCTCTCACATTGTTCATCCACTGTTGTTGTATGGTTTGTTCCATTACAAACTTGACCACCGATCAATTTGCTCTTTTCGCCTTTAGAGCTCATATCACTTCTGATCCTGAAGATTTATTGGCTAATAATTGGTCTACCACAACCTCAGTTTGCAGTTGGGTAGGTGTCTCTTGTGGTCTCAAACACCATAGGGTCACAGCCTTGAATCTCTCTCTTATGAGTCTCGAAGGCACCATCGCCCCACATCTCGGAAATCTCTCATTCCTCATATCACGGGACATCAGTTACAACTATCTCAATGGGTATATACCTGATGAGTTGGCTCATTTGCGTCGATTAAATGAAATCAATTTGAACCTCAACAACTTCAGTGGAGGAATACCGTCATGGTTTGGGATCTTACCAGAACTTCGTCGGTTGGAACTATATAACAATAGTTTTACAGGTATTATCCCAAAATCGCTATGCAACATCTCAAAGCTAGAGATATTGAATATAAAAAACAATTCTTTACATGGAAATATTCCACAAGAGTTTGGAAATCTTTCTAAACTAGAAGTTTTACGCGCGAGTGCTAACATGCTCACGGGTGTCATACCATCTACCATCTTCAACATTTCTTCTTTGAGACTAATTACTTTCGCAACCAATAGCCTATCTGGAAGTTTGCCGGTAGATATGTGCAGCCATCTTCCTAAACTTGAAGGACTCTTTCTTTCTACGAATCAGCTTCATGGGCAAATTCCATCCAGTTTATACAAATCCAGGGAGCTCCAATATCTATCATTATCGGCCAATAACTTCACTGCCAACATACCTAGAGAAATTGGCAACCTGAGTATGCTCACGGTGTTATATCTTGGTATAAACAACTTGAAAGGTATGATTTCAAATGTTCGTAGTTTTGACATATACCTTCTTTTTAATGCATACAAGTCGGTAATTGCTCAACCATATAAATGCATTTGTTGCTTTTAACAACTTTGCAGGCATAATTCCATCCGATATAGGTAATCTTCGACGTTTGGAAATATTGAGCTTCCAAAGTGGTTCTCTAACAGGCCCCATTCCATCTTCTATCTTCAACATTTCGTCTTTGGAGATGATTGATTTCAGAAACAACAACTTGTCCGGAAGCCTCCCAATGAACAGTCATTATGACCTTCCGTTTCTTCAAGTGATAGATCTTACATCAAATCAACTCACAGGTCAAATTCCATCCGGACTATGGAAATGCAGAGGGCTTCAATTATTATCATTGGTTTATAATAAATTCACTGGTAGCATATCCAAGGAAATTGGGAACCTTACTGCACTCAAAGAATTGTATCTTGGTTACAACTACTTGACAGGTAATTTCAAGACTTTACTACCTTCGTTTGATTTTTTTAGTACATTCACTGGTAGCATATTCAAGAGACTTGTAATGCATTATACAATGTCATCCATGTCGATTTAATTTGTACCACAAAAAACTATGTACAGAAACATAGCATAATTTGCATGTCCAATACTGTCACGCCCCAAAGTCCTAAATACATGAACTCTTATCTCGTATTAAGATTTGACATGACTTTCCTTACACATCCACAACTTTACAATAGAAATAATTAAATAAAGAAGTAGATGAAAACCACCCTCTAATTTATTAAATCGACACAACCATAATATCAAACAACCTTGTCAAAAATAATCCATGATAACTGGACAAAATGAACTAAACCAAAGAATGCAACAAACAAGCCAAAATCCATCACCATCATGTAATCCCATCACGTTCCTACTCAACGTGTACCTGAAATGTGATAATGGGGTGAGTTCACAAGCTCAGCAATAAATGCTAAACACAATCATCGTTCAGCAAATTAACCTTACCTTATATTCCTGTATATATAAGCAACTCAAATAAGTTCATTATTCAAATGTGTATAACCCAGTTAATTATAAACTTAATAAATAACCATCTTTTATTTTTTAATAAATCGGCATATCTCACATGAGCCCCGGGCTCCCGTCCAATAAAAATGGTGTGAATCGTATAGTCCCTGACTACCAAAAACACACGTGTGGCTGGATTGTACGTCTACTCCCCAGATGATCCCTGATCACGTCCACACAATAAGGGCTCATTAGACCCATGGCCATAATAAAAGGGTAGTGCACTCCCAAATAGGTAGGTCCTTGACCATACCCAAAAGTCATCATAGAGTCAGTCCCTGACTGCCCTCCGACTAATCCAAACTCATCATTATTATTTATGGTGAATTATGAAATACATTATTAATTAATAATTTAAAATCAATAAGTAATACACACAAACACGCTTTTAATTTAAAAACAGAACCCTATAAACCCAACTAGTGAGAGTACAAAATTCTGGACATAGCCTAATATTAGATATGACTCCCTACAAAATTTCAGAAGCTAAGTCTTAATAATATTTCCGCACTCTCCATCTTAGTGCTAAAAATAATACTTTTTTCGGGTTTTAATTTCGTAAAACTACCAAAATGTCATTTAAAAATCTGGATTTCAGTAAAACTAAATCCATTATACTTAAAACTAATATTCTGGAATTTCAATAATTTTTTTTTTTTTTGAATACTAAAAAAAAATACTCTTCTATATTTGTTTTTCAAAATTTAAAATAATTAAATATATTATTCATTTCGGTTGAACCCGGGTATTGCCCCCAACGGACTAGGCTCGGCGAGTAGATTCCAGTGATAACTTTCAATAGTCAAACCGATGTCTCACGGCAACACACTCTCCCTCACTTTCCATTGCCAAGAATGTGCTTCGTAGAGAAGAACCCAAAGTGGGTCTTCACCACCATAATGCATTTGCTTTTCTATCTGTTTTTTTCTTTTCCAACCAATATCTAACGGTTCTACCTTCTATTGACCCCAAAGTCTACTTTTAAGCTTTCTGTAGTCAATAAAGCTTAAGTTTGAAACATCAAATTGAATGCAAGACTTCCAATAATAAATTATTTCACTTATTAAAATATTCCACGCTGAACTTGAATTCTAACTCTCCGTAAATCAAACAATTCGTATAAGTATATTGATATATAATAACACCAAATCAGTTTCCATATATATACACACATATAATATCAAATCAGTCTATTAATCAAGCTTACCATGCATATAGCAAGTATAAAAACATGTGAATTACATTTATTCAATATCTATACACACAAACACACACACATGCGCATCAAGTAAGTGTCCTCCATTTAAACTTATATTCAGTGCTATTAGAACATGTGATAAAGTTTCATGCCATTCTATGCCTAATTTACATCAGATCGATATACCCTAATTCATAAAAACATGTTATATTAATTCTTGATTAATCGTAATTAGGCAGAGTTTCGTATATATACAAGTATATAAAGCAAGATTAACTTGCCTGTTAAATATCGTTAAACCTTTCTCTCTAGCCGATCCTTTGGTCACCGTCTCTTTTTCCGGCTACTGCAGATTGCCAACGAAAAATCAGTAACCCGCTTCCTCTCTTTCTCTCTCGGTAATTTCTTTCTTCTTTTTTTTTTATGAAAAATAATATCCTCGTACTGATACGATGTAAAATATAAAGGATAAATATAACTGTATTCGAGATAACCTAGGACTCTTATTTAAAGTTTTAAATTTTTTTTAAAAAAAACTCTATTATCTCAACTATCACGTTAAAATACTAAATACTAAATAATAAAAAAAATAATGTACGAAATTTTAGGGTTTTACATTCTACCCACCTAAAAAGAAATTTCGTCCTCGAAATTTGCATACCTTATTCGAAGAGTTGTGGGTACTTTTCCTTCATTTCTGACTCTATCTCCCAAGTAGCCTCTCTCTCGTCCTGATGATTCCACTGCACCTTCACCAAAGGTATCTCTGCCCGCCTCAACTGTTTCACCATACTGTCAACAATGTGAACAGGCATCTCAACATAGGTTGCATTAGGACGAATCTGGACCTCTGTGCAGTCAATGGCCTGAGTTTCATCCCTCAAGCACCTCCTCAACATGGAGACATGGAAAACATCGTGAACAGCTGATAGTCTAGGTGGTAGAGCCAATCTATATGCCACCACTCCAACCCTCTCTGTGATCTCAAAAGGTCCAATGAATCGAGGAGCTAACTTCCCTTTCTTCCTACCAAATCTAGTAACCCCCTTCATTGGTGATACTTTCAAGAACACCAAGTCACCCACACTAAACTCCAAAGCACGACGGCGTCGGTCTGCGTAACTCTTTTGTCGACTCTGAGCTGTGCGAAGTCGAACTCGAATGATGGCAACCTTCTCCGTAGTCTCTTGCACCAACTCTGGCCCCAAAAAACTACCATCACCAACCTCAGCCCAACATACAGGTGAACGACAAGGTCTACCATAAAGTGCCTCATATGGTGCCATGCCGATACTAGCCTGATAGCTATTATTATAAGCGAACTCAACCAATGGAATGTGATCCTCCCAACTGCCTAGAAAATCTAGCACACAAGCACGAAGCATATCCTCCAACACCTGAATGACCCTCTCGGATTGGCCATCGGTCTGAGGATGAAAAGCAGTACTCAAACTCAAAGGAGTACCAAAAGCTGCTTGGAAACTACTCCAAAATCGAGATGAAAAACGAGGATCACGATCTGAGACAATAGACACCGGCACTCCATGAAGCTTAACTATGTCTCTAATGTAGATCTTACACAATTCCTTTACAGTATCAGTAGCTCGAATGGGTAGAAAATGAGCTGATTTAGTCAATCGGTCCACTATCACCCATACTGTATCATGGTTATGTATCGACCTCGGTAACCTCACTACAAAATCCATCATCACATGCTCCCATTTCCACTCAGGCACAGGCAAAGGCTGTAATAGTCCTGCTGGTCTCTGGTGCTCAGCTTTCACTCGCTGACAAGTGAGACATCTAGATACAAACTCTGCCACATCACGTTTCATGCCTTCCCACCAGAACTGCCTCTTAAGATCATGATACATCTTAGTGCCGCCTGGGTGCACTGTGTACCTAGAGTGATGTGCCTCCTCTAAAATCTCTCTCTTGGGGTCTGCTAAGTCTGGAACACATAGCCTACCTCGAAATCTCATACCACCATCAGCTCCATACGCCCAGTCAACATTACCTTCATCATCAACAGACTCAACTGCTTTGGTCTGTAACCTGTCATCCAGAGTCTGAAAATGAATGATCCGGCTGATCAAAGTAGGTTGTACAGTCAAACTACAAAGAATAGCCCCTGTACTATGAGAACTCGGCATGATAGAAAACTCTGCCAATGCCTCTAACATCATCCACTCCTGAATCATCATAAAGGCAACTAATCCTCTCGGTTTTTGACTCAAGGCATCTGCTACCACATTCGCCTTTCCAGGATGATACTGAAGAGTCATATCAAAATCCTTCATCTTCTCCATCCACCTTCGTTGCCTCATATTCAACTCCTTCTGAGTGTAGAGGTATTTGAGGCTCTTGTGATCAGAGAATAACTCAAATTCCTCGCCATACAAGTAATGCCTCCACACCTTCAATGCAAGAACCACTGCTGCCAATTCTAGATCATGTGTAGGGTAATTCTGCTCATGTGGCTTAAGCTGCCTAGAAGCATACGCTACCACCTTGTCATCTTGCATCAAAACACAGCCAAGACCCTGATGTGATGCATCTGTGTAAATCACAAATCTCTCACCACTAACAGGAATGGTAAGAACTGGTGCCGAAGTCAATCTCGTCTTCAACTCCTCAAATGCCTGCTCACAGCGGTGATCCCAAACAAACTTCACATCCTTCCGAGTCAAACGGGTCAATGGTGCAGCAATTTTGGAGAAACCTTCAATGAAACGCCTGTAGTATCCTGCCAGTCCTAAGAAGCTACGAATCTCAGTGACAGTAGTAGGCCGTTTCCAACTCATCACAGCCTCCACCTTGGCAGAATCTACTGAAACTCCATCTTTAGAGATCACGTGCCCCAAAAACTGAATCTGCTCTTGCCAAAAGTCACACTTCTCAAACTTAGCATAGAGCTGATGCTCACGCAAAGTCTGAAGTGTAATGCTCAAGTGTCTCTCATGTTCCTCCTTAGTCTTGAAATATATCAGAATGTCATCAACAAATACCACAACAAACTGATCCAAGTAAGGTCGAAACACTCGGTTCATCAAATCCATAAAAGCTGCCGGAGCGTTAGTCAGCCCAAAAGGCATGACTAAAAACTCATAGAGGCCATAACGAGTCCTAAAGGCAGTCTTAGGAATATCCTCATCCCTAATCCTCAGCTGATGGTACCCAGTCCTCAAGTTAATCTTAGAGAACAACTACGCCCCT